CTTAGAGTCACCTCTTTGGCATGGAAACCTACAAGGTGCATGGTTGGTGAGTCTGCACAATTTCCCAGGAGGCCTTGCTATTACTAGAGCTTCTTGGTTGTAGTTCAACAAAGACCTCTGCAGGTGTATTGTGCTCTGTGAATGCTGGAGCTTTCTCCAAAGGGAAACCATTTGCTGCTATGGCAGATCAAATCCAGAAGCCAGGTTACCTAAGTTCAGTTGGTGTAACTACTCATAAAAATTATTATTTAATAAACATATAATCAGGATTTATTAAGGGAAAATGCAAAAATGTTGATGTGAAAAATAGTTTTGTACCTTTAAAAAACTTCTGTTAAAAATATTGTTTGTTGGGGCTTGGGGTTGTGGTTTAACAGATAAAGCCGCTGTCTTGCAAAGCTGGCATCCCATATGGGTGTGGTTAGAGTCCAGCCTGCTCCACTTCCTATCCAGCTGCCTGCTAATGTCCTGGGAAAAGCAATGGAAGATGGCCCAAGTGTTTGGGCCCCTGCCATCCAGATAGGAGACTTGGAAGAAGCTCCTGGCTCCTGGCTTTAGCCTGGCTCAGCTCTGCCTGTTGTGGCCATTTGGAGAGTAAACCAGTAGACGGAAGATTCTTTCTCTCTCTCTTTCTCTCTCTCTCTCTTTCTCTGTGTGAGTGTCTCTCTCTCTCTGTAACTCTGACTTTCAAATAAAAATAAAATAAATCTTTGAAAAATTCTTCGTTGGATATTTAAAAACTAATCAGCACTCCATCTACCTGGTAAATTACTCTTAAAATATATCCCTTGAAAACTTGAAATGTTTTTCTGTATGGAACACTGGGTCTATACAATCCAGTTAATTCTTCTCCTGGCTTACCTACAAAGATTAGAGCTAAATTTTATGCTTAGTACTTTTATTCTGGTTTCCTAATACACATCTTCTTTCCCTTTGCTCTATGGCAGTTTGTGGAATATTATCAGGATATGCAAAAGTTTGTGTTGTGTGAGTGTAATCACTTGCATTTTTGGGGGAAAGACCCCAAAGTTTTCATTGGGTTCTTAAAGGGATGCTTTACTCAGAAAAAGCTAGGGACTATAGTGTATTGTAGTATTTTATATCTCCAATCTCACCTTTAACCATTCTGTCTGTAAAACAATTATGTTTAGATTGTAAATCTAATTCATCTTTTGGTGAGTGAAAGGGAAGGAGAAGAAAGCGGGCAGTAAAAATTGTATAAACATAAATAAACATAAATATTATGGCACATTTTGTAGTCAGGTACTCAGTCTGTTAGTTGGCATGATTTGGAGGGCTTTCCCCTCAGAAATAATGCACTAAAATGTATGACCATAGGTGACCTCCATCTGTAGGAACATGTAATCTTGCGTCTTTTCTCTTTTTATTTTTCTCCTATCTTAAGAAAAATCAGACTGTCTAGACAGGTCTATCTTGAGAGTCCCCTGTGTGAAAGGTCTCCTAAAAACCATAGGGAGATAATACATGGAAAATTCCTTCACTATGTGACATTGCTGTACATATTGACCCAGGGACTGCAACATTCCACTGTGTTGTACATATTAATGTGGGATTTTTAAGACAATCCCACAGGACTTGCCTGCTAATTTGGAAACTAGATAAGTCCAATAAAATGAAAACTTGTTCAGAAAAAAAGCTGTGATGAGAAAAGATCTCAGGAGATCAAACAGTAACACCAAACCATTGGAGGAGCAGATATATTTCCCTATAGAACAAAATATCTTCCATCTTGATTTTTCCAAAATAATTTTTATGAGCATATTGTGAATTACACAAGACACCAACCCTGCTGCTTTGGGAGCCAAGAGACAGAGCTGACAGATGTAGTTATTTGCCAGAAACAACCATGTGAATTTATAAATATTTTACAAGTGCAGCTTTCAGAAGAGTGACTTTTACTGCCGTATTAATTCAACTTGCAAATTTATAGTCTGGGCATTTGTGGGTTATGAATGTCCAGTATTCGAGGCTAATGCCAAGAACATGGTTTATGTTTTGAAATCCTTTCTTTCTCTGATCACAGACTTCTTGGCTGTTAAGATCTGGGTTATAATTCAGCTACACGTGAGGTGCAAGGCTACACAATACATCAGTTTCCCACTCCCAATGGCTAGACTCATAAATATACTCATTATAACATATTCTGCGTGACAGAATGACACACAAAGTATAAAAATATCTCCAAAGAATAGAAAATTAGTAGGATAGAAGCAATAGTGGCATTATTCCATGCCTCTGGCCAAACTCATATTATGTGACCTAAAATTATAATTATGTGTCATAATAGAAAGAAAACTAAGAAAACAGTGTGCCCGGCCGGCGCCGTGGCTCAATATGCTAATCCTCCGCCTAGCAGTACCGGCACCCCAGGTCCTAGCCCCAGTTCGGGGCGCCGGATTCTGTCCCGGCTGCCCCTCTTCCAGGCCAGCTCTCTGCTGTGGCCAGGGAGTGCAGTGGAGGATGGCCCAAGTGCTTGGGCCCTGCACCCCATGGGAGACCAGGAGAAGCACCTGGCTCCTGCCTTTGGATCAGTGCTGTGCGCCGGCTGCAGCGCGCCGGCCGCGGCGGCCATTGGAGGGTGAACCAATGGCAAAGGAAGACCTTTCTCTTTGTCTCTCTCTCTCTCTCTCACTGTCCACTCTGCCTGAAAAGAAAGAAAGAAAGAAAGAAAGAAAGAAAGAAAGAAAGAAAGAAAGAAAGAAAGAAAGAAAGAAAGAAAGAAAGAAGGAAAGAAAGAAAGAAGGAAAGAAAGAAAGGAAGGAAGGAAGGAAGGAAGGAAGGAAGGAAGGAAGGAAGGAAGGAAGAAAAGAAAGAAAACAGTGTGCCGTGGTGCACTGGGTTAATCCTCCGCCTGCGGCACCAGCCTCCCATGTGGACGCCGGTTCTAGTCCTGGTTGCTCCTCTTCTGGTCCAGCTCTCTGCCATGGCCTGTGATAGCAGTGGATAATGGCCCAAGTCCTTGGGCCCCTGCACCCGCTTGGGAGACCTGGAAGAAGCACCTGGCTCCTGGCTTTGGATTGGCGCAGCTCCGGCCGTCACAGCCATTTGGGGAGTGAACCAACAGAGCGAAGACCTTTCTCTCTGTCTCTCTCACGTCTGTAACTCTACCTGTCAAATAAATAAATAAAATATTTTTAAAAAAGAAAGAAAACTGAACTCATATGTTTTGGAAAATAACATTTTTAAAGTATATTGGATCAACATACTCATGAGTGTTGTCCTATGCATTGAAGGCTGCACCACTGGCAAGACTTTAGTTACTTATCTTTCAGCAGATCATGGAGGAAGAAGTTCTTGTACACTTCTAAGTTGCTTTTCTCACCAGTGCTGCCCAGGGTAAAATAATCTTTCTAGTGCTCCTGACGTTGGAAGAGGAGCAGATTTCTCTGGGTTTGGGCAAACAAAGCCTTGGATGAAATCTTTTTCTAAACTATTTATTGTTTATTTATTTATTTGAAAGGCAGAGACTGATAGGGAGAGATTTCCCATCCATCCATTGTTCGCTTCTTAAATGCCTGCAACAGCTGGGGCTGGACCAGGCTGAAGATGGCAGCTGGGAATTCAAACTACATCTTTCATGTGGATAGCTGGGACGTAAGCACTTGCCTACTGCCTCCCAGGGTATGCATTAATAGGAAGCTGGAATCTGCAACAGAATGGGGACTGGAACCCAAGTACCCCGATATAGGATGAGGGTGTCAGAAGCAGCAGCTTATTGGCTACACCAAAAGCCCACCCCCTTGGATGAAATTTTAAAGTGGCCATAATTTGGACCCATACTAAAGGGTTATTCTCTTTCCAAATGTTACAACTGAGGCAGAGCTGAGGCAGCAAGGCTGCCCAACCTTTCATTCCCTAAAATATCTAAGAGGGCAACTCTCTCATGTCCATCATTTCTTGCTTTATGTTATGATTGTATAAAGATACTTCAAAAAGTTCATACAAAATTAAATTACAAGATAGGTTTATTCTAGGGCAAGTATTTGTCAGAGCAATTAAACTGCTGGGTGAGACACCCACATCCCATATTGGAGTTTTTGTGTTTGAGTTCTAGCTCTGCTGCCCCTTCCAGCTCCCTGGTAACGTACAACCTAGGTGGTAGCAGGTGATGGCTTAAGTGGTTGGGTCCCACTTGGGAGATCTGGATTGAGTTCAGCATGGCTCAAATCTTGGCTGTTGCAGGCATTTGGAGAGTCGATTAGTGAATGGGAGCTCTGTATGTATTTCTCTGCCTCTCAAAAAACAAAAACCAAGAAAACAAAAAGCAGAGTATTTTGGTGTAAAAAAATTGAAATCCATGCATAATTTTTTGTAATATGCATTTTATGGACCTTTTGAGGAGCGCGCATATGCATGAATTTCAAAATATTTTGCAACAAAATAAATTTAACTCTTAATTCCATTTTCCACAAGCTTTTTGAAGTACCCTTGGCTATAGTTGCTGAAAGAGCTCCCTTAGAGTTTAACCTTAAATAATACAGAATCTTGTGTTTCAGAAAATGTGTGATTAGTACAATGAGTAAAGCCCTTCTGAATCGCCAAAGCTAAACAAATAAATCCTGTTTATTCCAAGGCTTAATCCCACCGAGGCCCCCAACCTGATTGATCATGCAGCAGGCAGCAAAGTGCCCCTTACTAGCTGACCTTACACACTTCAATAGCATGGGCTAGACCCGGAGAAAAATGACACACATGCCTAAATACCATGTGGTAATTATATTAGAAAATACTTTGTTAACGGTTTTAAAGACAACCTTAGCCTCAAGAATAAGATTCTGTCAAGAGCAAATCCTTCTTCTTCCATTTCCAACCTAAGGGATAGAAGTAGTCAAATACTTGTTATGGCCACCCAGGAAAACTTCAGCTTTGAAACTGATTGAATCAATTTCCTTTATCTTATTATCTTAGACCATAGCAATTTAAAAGGAACCCAAGCAGAATAGTAGCAGTGCACAATCTAGACAATCTCATTTACTCACATCCTTTATTTGTTTTTTTCTTCCTTTTCCCTTCATTTCTATCCTGAAATTTCCTTTCCGTCCTCCTGTGAAGGCAAAAATTGAAAAGGGAAATAATTAGGTATTCATATCTTTCTAACACAGCCACATGTTCATATGATAAATGGAACATTACCATACAAAACTGCTAAAATGACATCCTTATTGCCAACTCAATTTACTTAATTTTGTGTCTTCCAACGATTAAGACAAGGGTCACTCCTTCTGCAAAATTAATGACTGCCATAAATTTAGAATAAAACACAGTTTTTCACCCAGTGTATGGCCAACTTGTGGAGCTGACTGCCCTGGGGGGGGGGGGGTGATAGATTCAGTCAACAGATGACTTAGAAAGGGCTAAATAACTTCATGGGCAGATATGATGCTATAGTTATGAATAGGGAGGTGAAGTTAACAGAATCTTATGCATCAGGGCACAAGCTGATCATCTGAAGAGCTTTGAAGGCCGGTTCTGACTGTGACACCCTGGATCCACATGGGGCTTTTACTTCTTTTCAAAAGTATTCACTGCTTCTGCGACCAGGACACCACATTTAGATCTCAATTGTCTTGTGTTTTTGGCTTTGAAGACCACAAGTGTCTGCTAAAACAATACAAAGTACAATGACGTGAAGAAGGCTTTATTCTTTATTTCAATGAATATTTATTGAGGACCTGTTCTAAGTGTTTGGGACACAACAAAGAGAAAAACTAAGAAAAATCCCTGCTTTCATGAGACACCTGCCACCCATGCCTTATTTGATCTTCGGGTATCAGGCTCGAAGTCCGGCATCGTGATGTGCCACTCGTCCACGCGTGGATGAGCTCTCCTAGTGCAGCTTCTCAGTGCAGCTCCTCGGGAACTCAGCTGTCCCCATACCCGCTGTGAAACAGTGAGATAGGAACACGGTAATTGCAATAAGCACTCTCACTCAAACAGAGGAAGACTGGCTGTCAGAGGTCCCTGGTCATTCTGAAGCCTAGCCTCACAGATGTTGCTTGGTTCCCTTTAAGAAAGACTGGAGTGTCCCCCAATGAGGGCCCAGTTCTCTCAAGGGTGACCCTATAGCTTGTCATCCTGAGGTTCTTCTCAGAGGAAGAGGGTTCTTTCTTCCACCCTTTGAGATACTCTTTCTTTACAATAATAATAACAACAATAAACTTTAATGTTTGTAGCTGGGTAACAACTTTCTTAGCCTACTTACTGTAATACAGCAAATTGGGGACCTGAAGGAATCTTTCCATTTTGCACTCATTCTGTTTTAGTCTAGGCTGGCAGGGATTTTATTAGTAAAACTCTTCTACACAGAGCACAACCCTGACTCTAACGAGGCCACTTTTGCCGTTAGACCGCAGTTAGGCTGTAATGCAACATCCCGAATACTCTGGGCTCCGTCTTTCACTGCTAAATGGTTTAACAAATGGTCTTTCAGCCACACCCCTGATTTGAGTCTTTACCTTGAACTCAGTTCTTACTCTGAGAAACTTTTAGTGGCCAGAGATTCAGAAATAGGAAACTGTTTTCCCAGCTGTCAAGTCGTAGTTGCTTTATTTTGCTTACGAATTCAACAGGATAACTGCTCAGATGTCTCTTTCAATCATTTCTCTCTTTCTCTTTTTTTTAACCTTATACAATTAGAAACAAAATCTAGGAGCAGTTAGCCAGCAGTTAAGCATCCCACATCACAGTACCTGGCTTTGATTCCCTGTTGCTTATGGTGTTACCTTATCAAGACTGTGATAGTAACACTGTGCATTTGGCTTACTAGTTCTTCAGTCTTCATGGAACTATGTTTCTCTAGGCCTTCAGGGTGAGTTTAACTTGTCCCAGATTTTATTTGAGAATTCCAATTTGGAAAATTTCCAATTTGGAAAACACTCGGTTCTTAGTCCTCAGTCTTTGAGATCTGGTTCAATTGAAAATGTCATACCTGGAGGGGAATGATTTACTGCACGTGCACTTTTATACCTCTGATTTTACTTTTAAGGAACTGGCATATTTTTTAAAGACTTACCTGAAGATGAATATCAAATACAACTATGAATTTGTCTGAAGAACTGAACGCAGCATTGGTAGCTCATCTGAAGTTTTCCGGGGGGTGGGGGAGGGTGGGTAATACTCTGTTTCCTCTGCGTTGATTCCGGAGGAGGAGGAGGAAGTTAGAAAGAGATCAGTTTTGGGAGTGGGCAGTGGAATTATATTTGGAGCAAAGCATCTCCTAAGGCTTCTGCATGCTTAAATCCATAAGAGGAGTCATTTACTTCTCTCATAAATCTGTAATGATGGCACAGTGGCACATAATGGTTTGTAATTTCCTTTGGTCAGCAAAGAGAAAAATGACAGAAGGAAACAGGCACATGAGCCCAGTAATGTCCACCCAATATTTCTTAAAAGCCCCTGAGACAGCAAACCTAAATGATCTTGCTTGCTGAAAACTGTGGCAATATTTGAGAGGATGAGTTTCTACTCATAAATGGAACACAAATATTGAGATGATTTCTTCTGCCCCGCATAACTCATGTGTAAGTCCCAATTCCCTGCAACCTGTGAGCCTTCTGCGTTCGTGTGGGTCTGCAGTCGTGGGACTCACAGTCAGTGCCTATTTCCTACCCCAGTCACACGAAAAAGTTACTAACATGTTTGTAAACCAACATCTTCATGCCAAAACTTTCATTTGTTTCACTGAACTCTCAAACTCTTCTATCTTGTCATTTCAATATAAATTTTCTGTTCTCTCAAAACTGAAGAGTTTGTGTTAAAATAAACTTTATTTAAAAATATATTTTAGGGGCCAGTGCTGTGGTACAGTGGGCTAAAGCCCAGGCCTGCAGCGCCAGCATCCCATACGGAAGTGGAGCAGTCCCAGCTGCTCCATTTCCGTTCTAGCTCCCTGCTAATGCGCTTGGGAAAGTAGTGGAGGATGGCCCAAGTGCTGGGTCCCTTCCGCACCTGTGTGGAAGACTTGGAAGAAGCTCCTGGCTTCTGGCTTTGGATCGGCTCAGCTCTGGCCATTGGGGCCATTTGGGGAGTGAATGAGCGGATGGAAGGACCTCCCTCTCTGCCTCTCTGTCTCTCTGTCTCTGTCTCTCTCTGTCTCTCTGTCTCTGTCTCTCTCTGTCTCTGTCTCTCTGTCTCTTTCTACCTTTCTCTGTAACTCTTTCAAATAATTGAAAAATAAATCTTAAAAAAATGTCTGTTTTAAACCTAGATGAATCTCAATATCCATTTTATTAAGAACAATTTGTAAAACTATCAGCTACTTGAAGGAATTATTTTGCAGAGTGGTTACTGGGACCGAGATATAATAAACACATTATATCATCTGAAGGGTAAATGTTTACTCATTTTCCATGAGCAGTTTATAACCAGTAAGAGGTGTGTTTTGACTTCGCATCAGATACATCAATACAACATCATGACTTGAATGCCTGATGCCTTTGGTTTGGAATATTTAAATTGCTTTCCCACTGAACTTCCTTACTTTACTCTTTGACCACCAGACTACCACCATATCATTTTTTGCATCACTACCAGAATAATTTTCCCTAAGTTGTCATCCCTTAACTTAAAAATATTAACCATTTCCTCCTTGCCTACAGAAGGAAGTCCAAAGTCCTTACTTGATATCCAAGACTCTCTATTAACACGTTTCTCTATTTCTGTTTTCATCCTACTGTAACAATCACAGTCAGGAAGCTAACTTGTAGCTCACTGCAGAATTTCTAATTTTGTCCACAGCCAGCTGGGGCTTGTTTATTGAAGGTGTTAAGCACTTTACTTAACAAAAGGAGAAAACTGGTTTCTTGTTTTAAGTTGGCAGAGACATCAAGGTTTTGAAGGTCTAAGGAGTCCATATTATTTTTATCTGGAAGATCTAATACTGTTCCAGGACTTCTCTGTAATTTGAATTCAATGTATATTCATTTAGTTAGGAGTTCTTCGTGTGTCAGAAATTTTGCACATAACAATATTTTGTGATTCTCAAAACAGTATTGATGGGTATTATCACAACTAGTTTTCAGACAAAGAAGTTGAGTTCAGAGAAGGTTAAAAAAAAAAATAGGCCCAAAGCTTCATGATTGGTCTGAGCAGAGCTGGAATTTGAATAGCATTTCCCTAAATCCTTTACCACAACTGTAGAATAAATTCATCATAGTGATGTTTTGATCCCTCCTGGGACTTTCCTGTAGTTTTCTAGTTGATCTCTGCACCAGAGACCAACTCTCATATGTGCTAGGCTCCGAACTGTTCTCTCATTGGGTCGAAACTACAAGCTGCGCGGTGGCAAGCAGGTGTTTTCTTCTTGACACTAAGTTTCATCTGAGTATTTGAAGCATGACAGTGATGAGGAAGGTTAATTTGCAGTAATACTGAGTATCAATCATGTTACAAGGTCAGAGTTCTCAGTCTTCAAATAATTTAATGGTATTGCCAATGACGCTGAAAGCAGGAGTGAATAAAAGGCCATATATTCAAAAGACATTTCCTGGTATTGTGGTTCAAATTAAGAATTTCTAAGACATTTCAGAGATTCTATTGTGTTGTGAGTCTACAAGAATAATTGAAATAGCCCCTGAAGGCTTTAGTTAATTGTAAGGGAGCCTTCTTGCTACCTCCCAAATGGTCATATATTGGAAGATAAAAGTTCTATGAAGAGCTCTGCAAAAATATAGGATACTTGATCATAAAAATAATGAATGCTAATAAGAAACATATAAGCTCTTTAGGCTTATTGCAAAAATATTTAACTTGTTGAAGTCAAATCTCAAACGTATTTAAATTCCAGACTCCCAGGCTATGGTTAGGTTTGAATTCTGTATTCCCAATCCAAAACAATTGTTTTCTTTAAAATGGGAAACTCTTGGGAGCAGGCATTCAGCCCAGCAGTGAGGAGAACTATGTCCCACATCAGAGTGCCTGGCTTTGATTCCCATCTCTAGCTCCTGATTCCAGCTTCCCAGCAATGCAGACTTCGGGAGGCAGCAGGTGAAGGCTATAATAATTGGGTCCCTGCCACACATGTGACAGACTTACATTGTGATCCCA